GATTTTCACAGGTTGACAGATCTTCTACACTGTAAGGGTGGCCAGTAACATCATCTGAGGATTCTACTAGGCTGGGGGAGTCTGCAGTTTCAGGTGTGATGGTACATTTTGTGGGATCAGACATCATCAATCTCTTCTTTGCTGGAGGATCATGAACTGTAATGGAAGAATAAGGATTTAAACTGGAAAGCAGACATTAGAATTGATGAAAGCAATTTGTGTGATATTTTTAAAAAAAAAATCAATTTCAAAATGTACAAAGAATTAAGCACTAAAAGAAACATTCCACATTCTTTCAATATAATCTTTCAATAGAATACTGACAATATGGGTTTAATCAAAATTTTCTAGGAAACTTTGGATGCTAATTCTAGGGAGCAATATGTGAACATGCTGATGTGTTTCATACACTTTGTGACCATTTTTTTCAGCAGACAGCTTACTAGATACTTGTTAAAGTAATATTCGTGACAAAGACACTCACCATTGGTTTGTGAGCGATTTACAATCCTTTCATATCGATCCACTTTCATCTCTGCCTTTTGGATCACCCGAGCACGTGATAGGAAATACATTTGGCACGTAATCAGGGTGTATAGGATCATTGACTCTGAGACCTAAAGAAAAACAAAAAGAATTGTTACTAACTTTTTTGTACTTTTATTTGCATTTTTCATAACAGTTAAAATTTGTGAACTTCGTCATTATTTGGCCTTTTCATTATGACAAAACTTGTACTTGTCCTAAAGATTTCAAGTGTTTGGCACCAGCTTTGTTTTGATTTGACATAAAAAAACTCCAAATTTAAAAGAACCAGATATAGACTTATTTAACGCACAGCTCTGGTCTGTAATTGTGTCATCAAGGTGTCAACCCAAAATTATTTCACACTGATCATTATCACACAGGTGAACATTAATTAAAACACCTTTCCTTGCCCTAATTCATAGGAAACTGATTGACCTTACACTAACAGCTTAACTGATCTATAACTAGACAGTACGGTAGCAGTATTCATTACCACACAGGTGCGCACCTGAACACCTTTCTTTGCAATAATTAACTGGAAGCTGGTCGATCTGACAGAAACAGCTTTCAACAGCTGTTAGTGTCAGCTTGGCAAGATTTGTAAATTTTCATAAAGAAAACAAAAATAAATAAAACTCTGCACAATCTTACGACAGTCTCGAATTATTTGAAGTTGAACAATGATAAAATCGTTGATTTATCCATGTCAGCAGGTGCCATTACCACAGATGTAGTATTAATATGATATGCTACTTTAAAAAGAATTCAAAACCCATCTAACCTGTTAAAAAGTGCAAAGAGCAGACATAAGAGGAACTTCCTCACAGCGACCATAGTTTTGATCTGTCAACACTGCCGTTGCTATTTATCCTTGCCCTGTTTATTGCTGCCAGCCATTTTTCCGTTCTGAATTTCTCATTAGGTATTACAAAAAACTTTACGAAGAACAGCCAACTATACAGCAAGTTTTTGGCATCTTTATCTCTTGCTTCACGTCTTATACACAGACTGATAACGGTTGCTAAGAAGTTAGCCCCCATGCGTTTTTTTTTCTGCGCGCACACATAGGTGTCACGTGGGCTATCCAACTGCAAGAATATCTCCAAAACTGACAGATATGCCCATAGTAACTATTGAACTTGAATAGGAAGTCATAAACTGGCAATCTGTGACCTTGATTTTGACCTTTGACCTACCTTTCACTATAAACTGAAGCAAGGTTTTCTTCCCTTATATCCCCAAAACTGGCAGAATATGGCCATAGTTATTATTGAACTTGAATAGGAAACTATATACTGGCAATCTAACTATATGCAGATAAAGAAGGTTTGTACATACAGGTGACTTAAACTCGCAGAGGATTTTATATTCCGTGAAAAATACACTAAATTTATATAAAATAATATCATGGTAGCAAAAAAAAAAAAAAAAAAAAAAAAAAAAAAAAAAAAAACTGTGAGCACAGTGCATCCGTGCATATGCCTACTGTAGTTATGCCAGTGCATAATCTAGCTATAGAAACTGGAAGGTAAACAGACAAAAATTAAGAACCTGTAAACTATGTATTTTAGATGACATTGAGGATGAAGTTCATTTTATTCCTTTAAGAATTTAAAAATGTTTTTGCTATAGAACTATTAGGCAGAAATACATCAAAAATTTCTTGAACAAAGCAATTAAAGTGGTTTCAAGCTAATGAAATTGTTATCCATTATAACTATGTTTCACAATTAAACAATCTATGAAAGTACTTAAAATGTGCAACGAAGCTAAGATTAACGACAGTCTGATGAGTTTATATCATTACTACTAGTAGAACTTTGTATTGTTGTTGTTTTTATGACTTTATATTTTTATTGCATTTCATTCCGATGAGCCATAGGGTGCAACGGTTTAATAAAATGAATTGAATTTCACAAATAACATGGACCTCATATGGAATGATCAACAGTACTCTCAAGTCATTCGAATGCAGTGTTTTATACAACTTGGGATAACCATAATTAAATGCTAGTAAAAGAAATGAATAGACGGGAAATGACTTTACACAGCTTCACGAGGATTAACACCCCTCGGGTAAGAGATTTGAATGAGTATGGACTTTCATCAGAAGCCAGAAAAGTCATCTTACAGGTGGACAATGCAGCTCAGTTTGACAGCTAAACACGTTGCTTGTCTCTCTCTCCTCTCGTGGCATGATTGTCATCATCGGGCCACGTGACCACGTAGCTCATTAACTCACAGGCTAAGCAAAAAGGACGTTTTTTAAAGTCAAAAATTAACAAAATGAGCTTTTAATCTGTGAATTTGGATAAAGATATCGTTAGTTGGACATGTTTATTGAAGAATATGCTCCATTCAGGCCATTCCGAAGATCTGACGAGAAACCTTTAAGCCTTATGCTTTTACTTTCATCCTTTCTACCCGTTGTGTATAATTATAATTCGATGTTGACTTTGCAGTTAAGCATAATGTATTATTGCATCAGAATTGACTGTATTTGTGCATTATTATTATTATCAGCTTTTTGTCTGTACATTTGGAAGCTTTGCTGCCTTGTTTTAGTGTTAAATAAAAAATAAAATGTAGAAAAGTGTCTGATGTTAAAACATACGCGTTGCACATAAATTATACTGTATAACACACCTGCCCGGTACAGATAACCTACATGTAAGTGACTCTAAAAAAAGAAGTTCAGGTGAATGAGACTTGGGCATATCTTAATTAAAGTGTATGGCATATGAATACTCTGCACGCAGGTATGGGTCTACAGTGTTCTGCCTATGGACTGAGAGAGAGAGAGAGAGCCTTGTCCATCCCCTGCCCATACATTAACGAGTTGGATAGAGAGGGCAGTACTGTTCATATCACCATATCGGTCCTTGGAGTGTGTCAACTACCAGAGTATAGCACTCATGCAGATTCTTCATCATTCTTCATCATCTCACAACCAGCGTCACACAATGTGGATCATGCTGCAGTGGCCACGCAAAGCCTCATTAGAATGTTAGACCTCATTTCCATAGATTTTAGATTGATCTATCCCTGTGGGGAGTCTCACTAGATTACTGTCAGCTTAGCCAGCTTAAGCGTCTGTCCTGCCTATTGAAAACTGTAAGGGGGTAATTAACTATGGTGCGCGCTCGGCTGACTGCAATTTAGCGTGAACCCCCTGGGAGTTAGGTCGATCTAAATCTTAATCTCTGGATCGATCTAAATCTCTGGGAATACATCCTTAGTTAGTGACAGCATGCAGTGAATAAGAATGGGAAGTGCTTAGTAGAGTAACTTTAGTTGATTGACATGCTCTTATGATATTTATACAACTGCGCATAATGTAAATGGGGAGAACAACTGGACAGTAGTTAAATAAATAATAAGAAAGATAATATCTGAGTTGTATTTGCTTCCTCACGTTACATCAGCAGTAATATTATAGTGACAATAACGACAATCTGGAGCTTTCAAACATTTATTCACCGTTTCAATTTTTCACACAATTTCACCAGTACTTATACTCTATTTTCCAAAGAATTTTCTATTCTCATGTTACAAAACACCATTCAATATTTCTTTATTAGGTAATTTCAGAGAGACAAGTTTAAATATTTAAAATATTATTCGAATTACTCAAGCTTGGACCTTGTCCATCTCGAGTTTGCATGTGTTTTACTCGTGTTAGAAATGTGCAAATCTATTGAAAAATTAACCAATCAAATCAAACTATATGTGACTTTGAAATGTTCCATCCTTTTATACTTTGAGAACAATCTCTACACTTGTTGACACTTAAAGAAATTTAACTTGCACTCAATAACTGCCTATCCCTTTACACATATGATTCTGTTTTAATTGTTAACTGTAATTAGCGAAAGTCTAAGTCATTCACTTTACAACATACACCCCTTCTTCAAAAGAATTTGTCCTCGAATTCGTAAACTTTACAACATACACTCCTTTTTTTCATTTTTTTAAGCAAAAACTAAATAATATCCAATTCGTACATTAACAAAACTAATCATGCTTTCGCGATGTATTAAGAGATCCATTACAAAAATCTATGCTGCATGCATTAATGCTCAATGTATTTAAAATTCCAATTACCAAATTCTAATGGTATTTGATGCAACACATATTCCATATAATCTTCAAATAATGAGCACAACTAATTAACTTCATAAAGTCCAACTTCTCGTCTAGGTAATCAAACCTTCCACAAAATACACAATTTATCAAATCAGATGAAAACTTATCTGAAAATTCGGTTCTCTTTGTTGTTTGAAGTATAATTCATTTATACATACAGAATGCTTACGTAAGTTCTAAAAAAGCTTAAATGACAAGGTTACAGTTCTGTCATCAATGTAAATGTGATGAACAAGTTCGCCAGATTCTGCAAAATCAAATAATTTTTTTAAAAAATCATAAGATACATATTTACAAAATCATAATTGTTTAAAAAACATTATTATTCATAACATTGTAAAGTAAGTAAAATACATCATGCTAATAATAATGATCATGATTAACACAAAATATAATGATTATTAATAAGTCATATGTAAGAGATAAATAATCATGTTATCATAATTCATAAAATAGTACATAATGATTACAAAAAAAATCAGGACTTAGGTAACCTGTTAGTTCTGTGTGTCTGGCACACTCTCAATAATAATAATACATGTGCATAGATCAGTTTCTTAAATCATTGAAGTAATAATGAGAAAAACTCAATCATAGAGTCATTAAAATGCTGTGATAGTACACACACCCTCTTACACCAAAAGTCCCCTCGCAAAGATCAATGCATTTTGTTAATTATAGACATGTAGCAAGTCAAGTCAAATTCAACTTGGATACAAAATTAATCTGCATTGTGATCAAATGGTTCAAACTGAATATAGACAAGTGCATTAGCTTGTTTAATGCGCAAAAATGCATATTATACACTCTTGAGTAATTTTTTGAGTTTAAAAGCTGTGAACATGGACAATGGGATAGCTCGTTCCAAAATAACGATTTCATTAGTTATAATGTTTGTAATTTGCAGACAATGCCAATCTATTGTTAGGTGTGGACTGTAGGTACCTTCAACCTTTAAAATATCAAAGTATGATTGGTGACTTTGAAAAACCCAGTACTTTGGACATAGTGACAGCTTTCTGATAGGCAATGATATACATTGTTCATTGTTGGAAATCTCTAAAGCCAGAGTATTTCTCTTAGATTTAAAAAAATTTCTCTTGATTTGTTCCACAAGGAAAATCAAAAAGATAATGGTAATTACAATTTGCATTATTAAAATAGGAAATTTCATTGAATCCATGATAACCAGTTCCTTCAGCTTATCATTTGTTTTTGTTGTGCTATCTAATAACCAATACGGCATAGTAGGAACTATATCATTTCCACGTGCTTTTTTCAGCAAAGCCACTATTAATGCCAATTGCCTGACCCTGATACCTAGGCCAATTATTATCACGAGCAATAAGCCTGACAACCCTATTGAAATCCAAACCAGTATTTGAGAAGAATCATCCGAATGAAATATTTCGTCTGCTAGAATAGCATCTGCCATAGAATAGATTTGCTCCTGACTTTTTGCTGCTTGAGCCATTTTTTGTAAGCTCAAATGATCAACTGAATCTTTTGCAAGGAAATGGGAAAAATTATGTTGAAATAACTGAAGAACATTCAATTTCGAACCTAAAAGTTCACTAAATAAATTGTTGCTTCCGATTTTGGCAACTTGCATTGGTGAATAAAAGTATTGCAACAAACCTAAATTAATAGGATGTAGCTTTGTTATCTCAGTGTTGTTTTGACAACTTGCCACTCGGGTTGGGAGATAAAAACCGTCTAAGTTCAAACTGCAAAAGCAAGGAATTTGAATGACACAATAATGACAGCCACTTAAAGAGGTTGACGTTTTAGGGCATTTCAGGGTAATGTCAGTTATGTTAACTAAAAGTAACTGACTCATCAAAACATCTCTTATCTGTGTTTTGATTGCATTGTGAATGAATCGAAAATTGCAAAGCAGATGAATTTCATCTGAAATCTCTAAAAAACAGTGTAAGAGTACAGTCTGGCTGAGTTGCAGACATTAGTGGGATATTATAACGCAAAGTTTAAAATGGCTACCTTTGCAATGTCTCCAAGTAAATTACGCAGGAATAGCATAATGTTGCCTATCTTTTGTAATTGCAAAATATTTGGGAAGGTAGAGGATTTGAGATGCGTGATTTGTGGATTGATTAAGCGGAACTGGATATGTAATTACTTCATACACTTTCAAAACATGTGGATTAGATGCTACGGGGATTTGAAGAGTTATATACAATGAACGTTTGTACAAACCGTATGTGAATTGAGCATGATGGAAATAAGATCTCGGATTAGAGTGAATAAGCTTCATTGGGATTGGCATCTTACGTAACTTGTCTTTAATTCTGGTAAGCACCCTACCTAATTCTTCTGGTGGAACTAAAATGATGACTATTGTCCTTTTGTCAGCTGAATGCATGCTATTAATAAATTTTGAAATTAAAATAATAATTGAAAATTCGCCATCTCCTTATGTGCAAATAATCTTGACATAACCACTGCTAATTCACTATTTTTAGCATAAATGTTCAAATCAAAACTTAATTTCTTTGCAATTTGATGGTTTTCTGCAATGGCAGATTTCATGTTTTCCATATATTCTACTGTCTACTGTGGTGATAAACAAGGACATTTGATGCTCTTGCTTAGTAAACAGATTAACTGTCTCCTTCTTTAAACTGTCAACATAATTTCTTAAATTCATAACATCTGACTCACTAGAAACTCCAAACAGCATTTTAAATAAATTCCCTGTTGGTAACAATGATCTTTTACTTCTGGTTTTCGATTTAATACTTCGCAACTTAATTCGTGGCATCATATATAATATTGTCTTGAGGGTGAATCTTAAGTCACGTATTGTTTGATTCTTTAATGTCGATAAAGTGCGTATTGCATCATCTATCCATGCATATTTTACAAAGTGGATTAATTATCTTATTGTCACCAATCTGTCCATCTGGACAAAGCGTCAACCTTGTTGGTATTACATCAATTTAATTTTAACTCAAAGGAATGAGACCAATTGCCTACATTAAATAATACATCAGAGAACGGCATGAACTCAACACCATAATTTATGCACTGCTCCGTCTTTGTTGTAGAAGCTGTCACAACGCTAATGGTCGCGAGAAACCATAGAGCCATTCTTCTGAAGGTCAATACCCTTGGTTTACAATGCATGCTGCTCAACTTATCCTCATCTAAGAAAAAGAGAAGAAACATAAGAGATAGAATAGATAGGCAAAACAGATATCCGGATATCATTTAGGGTTCAGTTAAGCTGCATGGCTGGTATTCCCAAAATTATACATTTTCCTTTTTTTTTTTTTTGGCATACCTTTTTCATTTTATTTATTGTGTCTGTTATCTCTAGTCATTTGAAATTTTATACGTAAACTCTTCTCTTAATAGATTATAGCATCCTCATCTTTAATTTCTACGTTTTTTTTATGTCTTCCTTGTAACGTCTTATTAATAGGTTTGTGAATTATTTCAAAATCTAGGCCTTGTAATTTTAATGACCATCTGATAAGCCTGCCAGATGTATGTTTAACCTTTTGCAACCAAGAAATTGCTTTATCCCTTCAATTACTGATAAATATTCTAACTCGTGAATTGTGTAGTTCTTTTCCACATTGTTTAAAGATCTCCCTCCAAACACAATAACCCTATCATGATTATTGTCATTCTTTTGACCTAAAATATAACATATAGCAGAAGTAGGTGCTTCCGTTGTTAATGTTAACTTGCAAAACATATCTGGATATACCAATATTGGTGGTGACATTAACACGTCCTTTTTCTCATCTGGTCTTATTTCATTTTTATTTATTACATGACCTAACTAGAAAAGCACTTAGAGAGCGCAGTCCTCCGCCAAGGCAGCAAAGTCTCCGTCCAACGCCGTTTCACCCTTAAATTTCGACATTAACCCTTTTCAGTTTGAATATATATTAAACTAAGTGGGATCTTAGGGTGCTTTCCCAGAGATTTAGATCGATCTAAAGATTAAGATTTAGATCGACCTAACCCCCTGGGGGTTCACGCTAAATTGCAGTCAACCGAGTGGGCACCATAGTAAATTACCCCCTTACAGCTTTTAGTAGGCGGGACAGACGCTTAAGCCGGCCAAGCTGACAGTAATCTAGTGAGACTCCCCACAGGGATAGATCGATCTAAAAATCTATGGAAATGGGGTGTAAGTGACCCTTTTACAAAATGATAATATTCCAGATAATATATATATATATATATATATATATATATATATATATATATATATATAGTGGTGGTGTTCAAAAGGGGGACTGAAGAGAATCACCAGTATAGTAATATCATTGTTGCACTGACCTGTGCTGAAGCTGCCATGTTGTAGTTCTCTAAGGTGATCAGATGAATTTTGCTGTCCTCAGTGAGATGATAATCCAGAAACAACTTCATCTGGGCTGAAATCAGAAAATGTATCATTAATAATGAATATATGCAGACACATACAGTAGTTACAACACAGATATAACACAATGATCAAAATATATTATAATTTTATGATAAAAACATACATTGCAGCTACAAAACAGACACACACAGTAATTAGAATATATACATACACATACTGTGTCACAACAGACAGCTAGTGCACTGGCATTAGAATGTAACAATGAAAATTTGTTTATATAAAGATTTATAAGGACTGACAGAGATTTTTCACCAGCACTCCCCTCATTCCATCTATGAGTTCACATTTACCCTTTTCACTTTGAACATACAGGTATATTAAACTAAGTGGGATCTAAGTGACACTTTTACAAAATGATAATATTCCAGACACATACATGACATATGTGACCCGTCATGACAAAATCAGGGATAAGTGGCAGCTGGCCTTTTTTCAATACAGGTGAAAATCACGCACAGGGTCAATTTTGGTGATTTTGCATTTTTGGTAGAAACTGGTTTATAAAACATTAATTTAGCATGTGCTAGAAGCATTTTATCCAGAACAGCTCAGAAAGTGATAAATATTGTGCTTTTTTGTAACATACACCATGTTTGTGACCCATTTCTTTGCCTGAATTGTTCAATTTCAGTCATACAAGATCGTATTTACTACACTTCGGTCCCGATTGTGTCGCATATCATTAAAAAGCTCTGAATCTCAACTAGCACAATATGTTAATTAATATTCCATAAAGATGTCTCCACTTCCGCCAGCAACAACAGTTCGGCAGTAAACAAATTTAAGTTTAAACCAATAAATTCACATGACGATTCACATGAATGTTCAGATACTGACAGTGACTCGGAAAATGGCGAGATAGTACACGTGGAGGGAAGTGTAGACTGTGAGCATCAGGCAGACATGCGCTTGCAATTTTCATGTAATTGCAACCTTAAAGTTGGTGTGGCAGAGGGGGAGGATAGAAGACGTGGGTGTATAACTCAATTTTCGTTAGAAGAAATTGAAGCGATTCATTTGTCTCTTCAAGACATGGACAGAGGTAGGCACATAAAAACTTTTTAATCAAATGAGGGCGGCAAATGAGATGGTAATGTGTATTATTTTTTTGTTGTGGGTAGTTTTCATAGTTGTACAGTCACCTATCGATTGTTGGCACCACCTCATTGAGATTTGGCTTTAAATTTAGGCCCAGGGGGTGACGGTTTGGAGTTAGATCGGGTTGGTGAATTACTCTTATCGATTGTTTTCATGTAATGTTTCAAATTGTTGTTGAAGATAATGGGGTCAATATTACTGATGCAAGGGACATGTTGATCTTGGGCCTGATAAGTGCCTCTATTCAGGATCAGGCCTACCCAACTACCAGACTCGGCACCTAAGGATCCTGAATTAACCGGTATATCGGACCACACTACCCGTTTCCAAGGTGTGTGTCAGATCGCATTTCGGAGTATCAGCCAGAACACCGACAGGATGAGCCCTGACATGCTCGGCTGTCACCTTGATTGGATAGTAAACGATTGTCGTAAAATCGCTATATGATTTTAAAACCGGGTGCATAATTTTGAAAGCCACCTAGATGAACCTTAGACTGCCACATTAATCTAATACAATGCAAAAAAGCCCTGTCAAAAGTGGTTAAAACATTCAAACCGAATGTCGTAAAGTCCCCATATATCCCCATAGAGACAATAAAATAGAGTACTCTAAAGTAAGAGTACAGTTTAAGGTTGTTCAGCCGAGCGTGGATGAGCCCGCAGTCGTGCTACAAAATTTGCTCTGGGGGATGATACTCCGAAATGCGATCTGACACACACCTTGAAAACGGGTAGCGTGGTCCGATATACCGGTTAATTCAGGATCCTTAGGTGCCGAGTCTGGTAGTTGGGTAGGCCTGAGGATGGGCCAACTACTGTTTGTAGAAGAAGGAAGGAACAAAAAGTTCGACAGAGGTCAAGATGTAAATATAGTTATATGGGTAGACAAGTTTCTACAGTGGCATTTAGATATTTACTTGGAAGGTAAGTTAAACTAAAGAAAAGTTTGAATAATGCTTGGATGTTACATAATTTGCTGAAGTTTTTTTTGCTTTGCTTTCAATCAGTGAGTTTGTTCTACATAAATTGTTTGTTGGTATTAAAACCATTATTAATCCTTAGTTTGAACTTAAATTTGCAGATTTATGTTTCATGTTTTTAATAACTTTGCAGAATGATGTTTTTGTCTGTTATATTACAGAGTAACTGTTTTTGAAAATTTTGCATCCAGTTTTGTTTTGTAAGTTTTAGTAAGTATTGTTTACTTGATAAGTATATTCTTTTAATTTTGTTAAGTGTTATAAGCACAGTTAATTATTTTGCATCATGCCTGTTCAAAGATAACGTGGATTTTTTTTCATTCATTCATAAGTCTTAAAACTCCTAGAATTTGTCCTTTCATAAAACAGTGTTGTATCTTTCTTCATGTGATATGTGAAGATTAACAGTATACAAAACAGGACAAGAAAGCCATTTCACACAATAAATGAATTAAACTTCAATCTGTATTTAGTGGCAGTGCTTAGATCAATTTCATTCCATGCCGCAAGTGTGTTTAATATGTGTTTAAAGTGACAAGATAAACTGTTTAACATTTGACAATTTTTTTCCTAGGATGAGCAAGGACCACCTACAGGCACTTCAGAATCACATCAAACAAAATGGTCTGGTACCAAGGAGTCTGAAATCTGGTGGACGTAAGTCCAATACGGCCTCCCTGTCCCATGCTGATACTGACCATGTAAAGCACTTCATTGCTCAGTATGCAGAAGACCATGCAGTAAGCTTTCCAGGAAGAGTACTTTTTTAGGGCCCATGAAAAAATGTTACTTTATCATCCCCGGCCGCATTACTTTTTCTGCTCACATAAAAAAATTATAATGTAAATTTTCCCCATCAAATGTGCACCTCATGCACAAAAACACTCTCCCTGTTCTAGGAGTGCCTCTCACTGCAATTTATGTTACTACTAGCTTTGCTCATGGCACGTTCCATGTTTTAGTGTATGTAATGACGGTCCGGAGGGCATCGTTGGTTAAATCCAATGTGTTTTTGTATGAGCAAAAAATACGCCCTACTGAATCACTTCTTGCAGGTGACAATGATGGTAAACTAATATTTTTTATGGGGCCTTTTTACAGAATTATCACCGATAGGGGAGATGGGTGCACATGTATCAGCCAATAGAGATAAAACCTTTTTATTAAAATGTAATTATGTCACTGGATTATTATTATTAGTGTTGGGTCTGGGGATTGGATGACATGCCTCTTTTTCTGTCAGAGTATGAAGAATACTAGGCCTACACAAGAAGTTACAACTTCTTGGCCTACACAATTGATACCTCAACTCTTCTAATAATAACTGATAGGCCTATCATATCCAAGTAAAGGATTCCTTCAAACATGGATTCCCCAGGAATTCCCCAGTGTGAGCTATTGTAACAGGTAATTCTATTGGTCAATGCACAGGCTAAACATAGCTCAACACATAAGAGAAATCCTACAGAGTTGAGTAAATTCCTATTATTTGAGAAAATTCTTGGCTTAGGGAATTCTTAAGGTACTTTGTGCATACCACTTAAGGGGTTTCCTCAGCTAAGAATTTTCTTATGAAGTTAAGGAGAATTTTTCACTTAAGATAAGGATTTTTTGTGCATACGGGGCCAGGTTTTAAAAGAGATGACATCCTACTCTTGCCCTCCAGTCATCCAAAGAGTAGAGTGTACAGGGATTATGTAGAAAGTGCAAACAGAGCAGGTATTTTGAGACTTTGACATATCATTTTTATATAATTCATTTTATAAATCAAATGTTTTTCATTAGAGTCATTGATTTGTAAAAAAAAAACAAGTCAATCATAAACTTTATAATTTTTATAATGTGGAAAACTATCAAGTTGTGATGAATTTGATAAAATTCTGTTATGTTTCAGCCAAGAGGTGTTTAAAATATTTTTTCAGCATTTTTATAAGGGAAAAATGAAAGTGAAATTTTAAAAGTTCTCTCAATTGCCAGCTGGTTTGATAGCATTACCATCTTAAGTAGGTCTACCATATTTGTATATTATATTCTATATATTGCAGGACACCGGAAAGCCGCATGTTCAACCTTCTGCACATTATGGCTACAGCTCTGCCCGTATGTTGTTGTAGCACGGCCCATGACAGATTTATGCTGGAAATGTCAGAGTAACAATACACGTATATTTAGAAGTGCTAACCTCCCATTGGAGGAAAAGTTTCTATTGGTACAACTGCAATAGCTGCACCTTAGCCAGGTTGATGCAGAAAGGCAGCACTACAGGAACCAAGTACAGCAGTCTAAGGATACTGTGGCACAACAAGGTATCCGTCAGCTGCAGCATACTCCTCCAAATGCTCAAGATTTCACTATGCACTATTCTTTTGATTTTGCCCAACAGTTGCATTATCCCAGCAATGCTGCACAACCAGGACCAATTTATTTTTTAACACCAAGGAAATGTGCCATATTCGGTATCTGTTGTGAGGCACTGCCTCAACAGGTTAATTATCTAATTGATGAAAGTGTCAATTGCTCTAAAGGTTCAAATGCTGTTATTAGTTTTTTGCATCACTTTTTTGAGACATTTGGCCTGGGAGAGAAGAGTGTCCACCTGCATTGTGATAATTGTTCAGGTCAAAACAAAAACAGATATGTTTTATATTATTTTTGTTGGCGAGTTATGAGAGGCATGCACACAGAGGTTACACTTAACTTTATGCCTCCAGGCCACACAAAATTTGCCCCAGATTGGTGTTTTGGTCTCTTAAAGAAATGTTTTCGAAGATCTGAAGTGTCATGTTTGAATGATTTGTGTTCAGTGGTGAGAGAAAGTACACCAGTGTCTAAAGTGAACATTCCTCAGCTTGTTGGACAGGAGAATGGCATTGTACATGTTCCCACGTACAATTGGCAGGCATACTTTAACCCTGTGTGTAAGCAGCTGACGGGGATAAAAAAATATCACATATGCGGTTTTCAGCCACTAACCCAGGCCGCGTCTTTTACAAATCATCTTTGGCTGAAGATGAACTTCATGTGGACTTGACATCAGTAGAACAACATGCGCAGCTGCAAAATATGCCAGAGAGAATTGAACCCCCTGGACTTTCTTATGAACGTAAACTTTATCTGTATCAGAATATCAGGCAATTTGTCAGGGAGTACCAAAAGGATGTTGTTTGCCCAAACCCTAACTGAAAGGGTACATGTATGACATAATTCCATATTTTATGTGGCTCAAGTAAATTAGGACAGTGTTGATCTGAACTGTTGCTAATGTGTTGTATTTTACTCTTAGCTTTAAACCAAGAAATTGTGTCATCTTGTTTACAGCCTGTCACCCGACCTGAGCATTTTTAAATGTTTTGCATTTGTTGCACACTTGTGTGAAAATATTTCAACTGTTCTTAAAATAAATACTCTGTTTTTGTCATTGACAGCTCTTTGAAGCAAATGAAATTCACTAAATCTATGATTTGTAATGAAATGAAGTGTAGTGCATTTATCTGTAAGTGACAGTTTTTGATAGCAAATTCAACTTGGATTTCAAAGAGACAAGATTATGTATTAAGTGAAAATGTAGGTATGATCACATGTAATTTTGTTATCAGAGTGTTTGTTTCACATAAAATGTATCTGATTTTTAAAATATTGTAATAAAGAATATGTTTACTGAGGTATTGCTTAAATTATGCATGTTACCCATCTCTCTCCACTGAATGGTTTAAATTCAAGACCCCCTCCCCCCCATATCACCACACATATAGAAATAAAATGGTGCTTTTGTCTTGTGGATATAAATTGTCTTAGTATCATTTCTCCAAAAGGAAAAAAACTCTGTGTGAGATTTTTACCTTATAAAAAGGATGGTTGCTAAGGAAAATTATTTAAAGAAACAAGTGGATTTTTAATGGCCGTTCTCTCAAAATGGCTACCACTAATACCTTCGATTATAAACCTCAATAACTTAAACAATTTAAAAGGTACAGAAATATTATTTACATCATTTTACAGAGGACATCTTTTAGTTTTTAAAGATATATAAATATCAAAATTATCCCTGATTTTGTCATGATGGGTCACATATGTATAGTGGTGGTGTAAAAAGGGGGACTGAAGAGAATCACCAGTATAGTTATATCATTGTTGCACTGACCTGTGCTGAAGCTGCCATGTTGTAGTTCAATCTGGAAGGTGATCAGATGAGTTTCGCAGTCCTCAGTGAGATAATAATCCAGAAATATAACTTCATCTGGGCTGAAATCAGAAAACATATCATTAATAATGAATATATGCAGACACATACATTACTTACAACACAGATATCACACAGTGATCAAAATATATTATTATATTATGATAAACGCATATAGCGATAAAACAGACATACACAGTGATCAGAATATCAGACACACACATACAGTGCACAGGCATCAAAAGGTATACATGAAATTTTGTCAATCTGAAAAACTGACAGATTTTTGCTCAGCTCCAACCCCCCCCACCTCAATTTCACATTAACCCTTTTCTATCTGAACATATATTTAAGTGAGTGGTGTTCAAAAGGGGGACTGAAGAGAATCACCACTATAGTAATATCATTATTACACTGACCTGTACTTAAGCTGCCACATTTTAGTTCTTGGTAGTGATCAGATGAGTTTAGCTGTCCTCAGTGAGATGATAATCCAGAAACATAACTATGTTCAAATGGGGACTGAAGAGAATCACCAATATAGTAACATCATTGTTGCACTGACCTGTGCTGAAACTGCCTTATGTTGTAGTTCTTGACAGTGATCAGATGAGTTCAGCTGTCCTTAGTGAGATGATAATCCAGAAAACACACTTTCATCTGGGCTGAAATCAGAAAACATATCATTAATGAAAATAAATGCACACACATACAGTAGTAACAACACAGATATAGCACAGTGATCAAAATATATTATTATTTTATGATAAACACAGACACTGCAGCAACAAAACAGACATACACAGTTATCAGAATATATACATACACATACTGTGTCACAACAGACAGCTAGTGCACTGGCATTAGAATGTAACAATGAAAATTTGTTTATATAAAGACTTAAAAAGATTGACAGAGATTTTTCACCAGCACCCCCCTCATTCCATCTATGAGTTCACATTAACCCTTTTCACTTTGAACATATATAAAACTATAAGTGGGATCTAAGTGACACTTTTACTAAATGATAATATTCCAGATATTATATATATATATATATATATATAGTGATGGTGTTCTAAAGGGGGACTGAAGATAATCACCAGTATAGTAATATCATTGTTGCACTGACCTGTGCTGAAACTGCCATATGTTGTCAGCTGTCCTCAGTGAGATGATAATCCAGAAAACACACCTTCATCTGTGCTAAAATCAGAAAACATATCATAAATAACCAATATATGGAGACACATACATTGGTTACAACACAGATATCACACAGTGATCAAAATATATTATTATATTATGATAAACGCATATAGCGATAAAACAGACATACACAGTGATCAAAATATCAGACACACACATACAGTGCACAGGCATCAGAAGGTATACATGAAATTTTGTCAATCTGAAAAACTGACAGATTTTTGCTCACCCCCCCCCCCCCAAAGTTCACATTAACCCTTTTCACTCTGAACATATATTAAAGTAAGTGGTGTTCAAAAGGGGGACTGAAGAGAATCACCAGTATAGTAATATCATTATTACACAGACCTGTACTTAAGCTGCCACATTTTAGTTCTTGGTAGTGATCAGATGAGTTTAGCTGTCCTCAGTGAGATGATAATCCAGAAACATAACTTTGTCTGGGCTGAAATCAGAAATCATATCATTAATAATGAATATATGCAGACACATACAGTAGTAACAACACAGATATAACACAGTGATCAAAATATATTATTATTTTATGATAAACACAGACACCGCTGTAGCAGCACGCGTCTTTAAATAAATAAATAAATAATAAAAACTGCATCAAGTTGGTGGTAAAATCTTTATTCCCATTCGGTTCCGACGAAATATTATTCCCGTGGAACTAAAATAAACATAAAACATACATGTAGTCCTACGAACACATACGCTGACATGGAAACTTCTTAAACTAACAATAATTCTGAAATTGAGTGATAAACAACTTGTAAATCGAGACGATAACTTCAAAGTTTTGATTCCTAATAAAAATAATAATATAATGAAAGATTAAATCTTGATTTTCCTCGTTTGGGGCCTAAACCTTCTAAGAGCGTCGGACGCGTGCCGCCGTCAAGTAAAAGCTAAGTGACACTACGTGGCAGCACTATCGGATCCAATATACAAGAGAAGCGCATGCGTAGTTACTGTTACATGGCTCCTCAAAATACACATTTACATAAAATTGTATTTTCCACAAACTTGAAATTCTCATAAGCTATTTAATGTCAGCATATAACAATATTTTAAAGATATTTAATGTCAGATGCTTGTCAAGCAACAATACTACCTTTAACACTTACGATTATGAATCATTAAACATTGCATACTAGTTAACTAAACTAACGTTAACAATTGCAATTATAAATCTCTAAACATTACATACTAGTTAACTAACTAACGTTAACAATTACGAATTTCTAAACATTACATACTAGTTAACTAACGTTAACAATTACGAATCTCTAAACATTACATACTAGTTAACTAACGTTAACAATTATAAATCTCTAAACATAACATACTAGTTAACTAACGTTAACAATTACGAATCTCTAAACATTACAAAATAGCTCAAAGATTAATAGCAAAATTGTGTTGTGGCAAGTCATACACAGCACATCATACATATGCAGTCAACAGACAGTTGTAGCAGGAGAAAAACATTGGCTCCCGACGGGGAATACACCCTGGTTAAAGCAATCATTTTATTCAAAGTTTGGGTTGGGCATTATGAATACTAATTTCTGAATGGGCCTGTCCAAAAGCATAAGTGGACTGTCTCGTCGACCACGAGAATCCAAACATTTAGTGCTCATTGCAACTTGAACTTTCCTAATGTATCCATCCTCACTTGGATACACACTGTGCACTCTGGCTAGAGGCCAAGAGTTTCTAGGCAAATTTTCATCTTTGACTAAAACAATGTCTCCAATTTGCAGATTTTTTCTAAACTTACACCATTTTTGTCTAGACTGCAACTGAGATAGATATTCTTTGCTCCATCTCTTCCAAAATTGATCAGCTAAATACTGTACACGTCTCTAGTATTTTCTTAAGTAAAGATCCTCTCTCTGAAATTCACCAGGTGGGGGGCACACCACACTGGATTTGCCAGTTAAAATGTGATTTGGAGTCAATGGTTCTGGTGACATTGGGTCATTTAAACAATCGACAGTCAAAGGTCTGCAATTTATAATTGCCATGACCTCAGACATAAAGGTGCGTAAAGCACTATCATTCAACTGGGATGTTGTAGACAATAAAAGAGAGTTCAAGATAGAACGGACTGTTCTTATCTGGCGCTCCCAAACTCCCCCCATGTGACTGGCTGTAGGGACATTCATTTTAAAGGTAATGAAGTCACATTTTTTATGGAAAAGGTAATTCTGAATTTTACCTACTTCCATTTCTTTGACACATTTTGACAACTCTGACCGTGCACCAACAAAACTTGAGCCTTGGTCACAACGAATTTGTCTTACAGGACCTCTCAAAGCTATGAACCTTCTCAAAGCATTGATAAAGTCATCAGTGTTGAGAGAATCACACACTTCTATGTGAACTGCTCTTGAGGCAAGGCAAGTGAAAAGAGCACCATACCTCTTCAGTTCTTTTCTACCTTCCTTGATCAAAAACAGGGCCAAAATAATCGACAGCACCATAGGTAAAAGGAGGAAATGGTTGAACACGGTCTGATGGCAGATCTGACATCTTCTGCTCTTGCACAGCTCCACGTGTTCTCCTACAATGGACACATTGATATATCTGCTGGGAAACAGCAGAGCTACAACCAAGTATCCATAGTCCATGTGATCTAATGGCATTTGTGGTCATTCCACGACCCTGATGTCCAGTCACACTGTGAAAATGTCTCACTATGAGTGAGGTGATGTGACCTTTTCTAGGAATAATAGCAGGATGGGCTACAATACCCGAGGCAATTGGCATCCTACCACCTACCCTGACTATGCCTGCGTCATCCATATATGGATCTAAACGATGTATTATACTTGATCTAGGGAGCTGGTGATTTGACTTCTTGTCTCTAGAAGACCGAGGGGCACATTTCATACGACGTAAAGCTTCATAATCAAGTCTAAATGAGACTCTTTGGACTAATTTGACAACACAGCTCTCAGCCTCTTGTAAATTGTCAACTGTCAGTGGTCCAGAAATTGATTTGAGGGTTCTCTTCCTGACTTTAGAGAGCAATATCTCTTTGAACCTCAGACACAAAGCTACTGTCTTGAGAAGTCTATCCCAACTAGACACATGGCTGAACCTATTCAAATCAAATTCAGCATGGGCATCATTTGTGTGAGTAGTAGCAAATGCAACATTCTTTGAGCGAACCTCAGGATCATTTTCATCTACAACTTTTGGACTGTGAGAATCTTGGTTACACTCAGGGTCTCTAAGAAATGCAGGGCCTGAAAACCACAAGCTGTTTTGAACCAGGTCAGAGGCAAGCAATCCCCTGGATGCATGATCTGCAGGGTTGTCTGTCGAGGCAACATATTTCCACTGAGAAATCTCTGACTGATTTTGGATGTATTGGACACATTTTGCAACATAAACCTTAAATCTGCGAGCTTCATTGGCTAAGTAGCCCAAGACAACTTTACTATCGGTCCAAAAAAAGTGCTGTATGTCCTGAATGTCTAGTTCCTTTGTCAGAACTGAACTCACCTGAACTGACAATGTTGCAGCCAATAACTCCATGCGAGGAATTGACAAAACCTTGAGAGGAGCCACCCGACTTTTCCCACAGACAAGCGTGCAGTGCACAGAGTTATTTTCATCAATCAATTGGAGATAAGAACATTGCCCATAGGCTTTCTCACTTGCATCGGAAAAATGATGCAGTGCAGCAGATTTTACAAGACCAAAGTTGTCAGGTTTAAAACATCTAGCTACACTGAGATCTACTAATAGTGGGAGACTAGCTCTCCATCTTTCCCACATGGGCCTCAGGTGATCTGATAGGGGTGCGTCCCAATCAGTGTTTTCTTTGCATAATTCCTGTAGGATAAGCTTCCCTACCAGGATGAATGGAGCCAAAAATCCCAAGGGGTCAAAAACGGAATTAACCGTGGACAAAATCCCTCTTCTCGTGTAAGGCTTATCAGACACCACTATCCTAAATTTAAACGCGTCTGATAGAATACACCACTGGCCACCTAGAACACGTTCGATAACAGATTTGTCTAGGTTTATATTCTGGACCTCTACTGCCCTATCATCCTTCTCAACAACATCAAGTACTTCCTTCCTATTGGAAGTGAACTTGTGAAGGTGCAAACCACTATTTTTGCATGCCTTCATACTACTAACAACTAAGTTCCTGGCTTCATCAACTGAAGGAAGGGATATCAATCCATCATCAACATAGAAGTTGTGTAGCAAGAAATTGGTAACACCATCTCCAAACTCGGCCTGAGAATCTAACGCCATCTGTCTGAAGCCATAGGTTGAGCACCCAGGAGAAGAGGTGGCACCAAACAAATGTACCTTCATCCTGTAGTCGACTGGGGCAAGTGAAAAATCGTCTGTTGGCCACCAGAGAAAACGAAGGAAATCTCTGTGGCTCTCAGACACTTTAAATTGGAAAAACATTTGCTGCACATCACATGTAACAGNTTTAACTGTTTATCTTCATGGCACCGTGAAAATTGTCTGGCCACTGGAGCTTTTCACACAATGAAACGATAGACCAGTGTAGGTAAGGGACTAAAACAATGAGTTCATCATGTCCGGGCCAGTAAGTAGCTCATCATTTAGACACCTATTTTGATGCCTAGCAGCACAATCGAACACAACCCGTATCTTTTTGGGCTTATTTGGGTGATATACCCCATGGTGAGGAATATACCATGACCCCCCTTTGTCTAAGTCCTCTATAGGCACCCTCTCTGCATACTCGTTAGAGAGAATGTCATTCATGAAAGTGTAATAATCTTTCTTGAAATCAGGGTCACGCACAAATCTTTTCTTCAGAGTCATAAGTCTAGACAATGCCTGATCCCTATTGCTTGGGAGACGGGGTTTACCATTTCTAAATGGGAGTGGCATCTCATAGTGCACTCCATTGTCACTTTTTTTACATCCCTTTTCCATAATATCTAGAAATTGACGGTCTAAACGAGATGGGGCAATGGCTTCCAAATCCCCTGCAGTGTCAGTCACTACTTCTTTGACACTGTTGCGTACAGCAAATGAGACCTTATCTACAGACGACCTATAGGTTAACACCCTATGGCTAACTCCTATGGGGTCTAAGGACTCTTCAACAAGGGGTTCAACTATGCCTACTATTCCCCAACCCAACACCGTTTTCTGTGCAAATGGGCCATTGCCTTGAGGTGCTATCACCTCAGTGGGCAACAGAGCTTTAGGACAATTATATCCTACTAAAAGTCCTATATCTACATCTAATAGTGGTGGCAAACTATCTGCCATGCCACTCAAGTACGGCCACTTTCTAGCTGTGTCGTATGTAGGGATGTGATCTCTATTTGCCGGAATTGACTTCCTTGTATATGTAACAGGCAACATAATTTTTTCATCATTTCTATAACCTCTAATCTGTAAACCAGTCATTCTATTTGTCTTAATTGTCGCGCTGGTAGTCATGGTCGACAGACGCAAATTTGTAGGAGTCCCTGTCATATCTAAGTCCTTAACCACACTGTCAGAGACAAAGGTGGTGTCTGATTGGGTATCAAGAAGAGCATATACCAAGCATTCCTTCTCAGGTTCACTGGTATGAGATAACCACACTGGTACAATCATGGAAGTCTTGTCTCGGTCTACGGTCTCACTCATGAAAGACAGAGAACTTGTATGAGGGCCTGTACTACTTGTCTGACGTGGGGTCTTATGGAGGCTAGTAGGGTGTAATTTGTTACAGGTTTGACAAGTCTTTTTGGCTAAGCAATCCTTGGATTGATGCCCTGGTGAGAGACATTTAAAACATAGAAATTGCTCTCTTACATACCTTTCACGTTCTAGCATAGGTTTGGCCTTAAACTGGCTACAGTTATCCAGATCATTGGGCCCTTTACACAAATGACATTTTGTGATGTTTGTTTGTCTGTTTGAACTCTGTCTATAATTGACTGTATCTACATGAGTCTGACTTCTACTTTGAGTATGTCTACTAGTACTCACAGCAGGTCTTACATTTTGTGCCTGCTCCCTTTGCCTTGACTCACTTTCATTATCATTAAGGAAGAATGAGCTCAACCTTTTATCACCCTTGGGTCCTTCTTTACCCCTTTGTTTTAAAGACTGAACAGACACAACAGGGTCACTAGCAATCTTTGCTTCCTTGCTCAAGAATTCTGCAAATTCATTAAATGTTGGGAAAGAACCCTTTGCTTTCCGTTCAACGACCATTCTACCCCACCTAGCTATAAGCCAGTCAGGTAACTTATGCAGAATGTTTTGGTTTTCTCTTTCATCATTAAGGATATTCAGCCCAGGATAACAAGACATGGCTGCTTTTATCTGATTAAGGAAATCAGACAATTTCAACAGTCCAGTACCATCTGACCCAGATACCTTTGGCCACTTACTAAGTTTATCTCTGAAGGCTGAGACAATGGCAAATGGACTGCCAAACCTTTCTTCCAGGATGGACATGGCCTCGTCAAATGAATTTTCTGTGCTGATAAGAAAACAACCCTCTATGCACTCTTTTGCCTCTCCTCTGACATACTTCTTTAAGTAGTACAACCTTTCTATGTTGGGTATTTTGTGGTGAGAGATAAGAGCTGTGAATGCTGCTTTCCAGCTTGGATACTGCAATGAGCTACCATCGAAAATTGCAGGTTCTGGAATTGGAAGTCTGCTTATTAGCAGATTTTGAACAAGGGATTCATAAGTGTCACAGCTGAGGAGAGCCTTGGGATGGACTGCATGGTCACTACGAGATTCAGACTTCATAGGCATTTGATCCTTATCAACATATACAACATCATCTAATAACTCTGCTTGGACTATTTCTAGCTCTTTATTCAACTGTAAGCGTTTCAATTCTGATTGGATTTTCAGAAGCTCATGTCTTTTCTGTTCTTCCAACTCAGAATGTTTAATCTGAGCCTGAAGAGTTTCAATTCTTGACCTGTGCGATCTTTCGCTGGCTACTTCAGATTTAGCAAAGGACCTACGACTTGATTGTCTAGAAATATGCGAACCTTGATCATCCAACTCAAGCAACCTAATACGATTACCTGTCCTTCTGAGAAGGTGCAAATGTTCTTCCTCTATGGTCTCTACCTTTACCCTAAAATCTTCATCTAAACCACCACATGTTTCAACATCATGAAAGGATTTCTGTACACAATCTAAAGCTGTACAGATTTCATTCCATGTAGTCCTTAGAAGGCCTACATCACTACAGTCATCAGCTATTATTTCAAGCTTGGACGCTTGCTTGCGCCAACTAGATATTGCATTTCGCAAATGCTGTCTATTTCTATCCATCTGCCACTGTATACCCTTTTCAGTCAATGGCCGTATACGTTTCTTGAGTTCTGCCCTTTCATTTACTAGAGAGGGGACACTCACAGAACGTCTGATTTCCTTCAAAGTAACATCAGACGCTGGTAGATTGACTAAAGACATACCTTCTTATTTAAACAAAGATTCAAGACTATAGAACCAAGCAGGCTAGACAATGGAATGAATCACGGTGTGAACAGACAAATGTCATAAGGAACGCTATATATGCCCCCTTTCCAGGGTGGGCATAAAACAATTAAAAATTCCCATGCTTTCTACCTGCCGCTACCATGTATGTGCTGTGCCTGACAAGCCACCACTGCTCAATGTAGATAACTGATCTGCTCTATGTAAATCTGGTGCTGTAAAAATGAATACACAAATTAAAGATAGCTAAACAGTAAAAACAACAACGTAAACTTGATCAAATTAATGCAAGATATTCAAAGCAATCAGCTGTGTATGCTGTGGTGTGCTAGCATAGTGTTCCTGGATTGTCCTCTGCCGTACTCAATTAAACATTCAGGCAAAAAACATTCAACTGACACTGTGTTACTGTTTTCAATTGTTCAAAAGTACTTTAAAATGTCTACTAGTTTGTTTACATAAACAAATGAATTGACGCTATCACTTTATCTAAATAATAAATTGTCCAATATTTGTTTCAATGTTCAAGTCATAAATTGATACATTGTATTACGTGAGTCCATAAATGTAGTAAAGTGATACAAATTTACGTAGACAGAACTGTCACTGGATCAGAGGCGGGAAACCAGTCACGTGACCAAAGGCACACATTGTGATAGGCTGGAAAACTTGTCGCTACCAAAGGCAGGAACATAGCGTCATCAAAGGGCGGGAAATCTCGCATCTTCCAAGGCGGGAATCAACAAAAGTTTCTCATATCAGTCGTCCACATCAAGCTTGGAAATGTTTCAAAATATACAAGGTCGATGATTCACAAATTAAATGTCATTTTGTCCAATATTATATTAACAAATCTCTCCTACAATTCCAGTTCTCTCTAAATTTCCCGCACCACCCACATCATCTGCAATAATCTCTGTATCGATCTCCATGCTACGAGTTCCACTACGAGTTCCACTGTAGCAGCACGCGTCTTTAAATAAATAAATAAATAATAAAAACTGGATCAAGTTGATGGTAAAATCTTTATTCCCATTCGGTTCCGACGAAATATTATTCCCGTGGAACTAAAATAAACATAAAACATACATGTAGTCCTACGAACACATACGCTGACATGGAAACTTCTTAAACTAACAATAATTCTGAAATTGAGTGATAAACAACTTGTAAATCGAGACGATAACTTCAAAGTTTTGATTCCTAATAAAAATAATAATATAATGAAAGATTAAATCTTGATTTACCTCGTTTGGGGCCTAAACCTTCTAAGAGCGTCGGACGCGTGCCGCCGTCAAGTAAAAGCTAAGTGACACTACGTGGCAGCACTATCGGATCCAATATACAAGAGAAGCTATAGGATCCTATAGAAAATCCTATAGGATCCTATAAGATTTCCTATAGGATCCTATAGATTTCCTATAGGATCCTATAGGATTTCCTATAGGATCCTATAAGATTTCCTATAGGATCCTATAGGAAAAAGGGACAATTTCCTATAGGATCCTATAGGAAATCTTATAGGAAATCCTATAGGAAATTTTCGTAAGGGATATTTTTCACAAGTCTTAGAGAAAAGTTGACACTGATTGTCCTAGCTTGACATGTTCTGACATAAACTATATTTCTGTTTCCTGAAAAGAACTATCTGTGGAACCAGAGGCAAAACGGAGGCATAAGGACAAGACAAGGAGGTCACAGAACTAATACGCTATTAAACAATTGGCAAGACCGAGTTTGCCGTAATACATCGACAGGGCAACGATACTTTGCCAGACAAGGTAGCTGTGAGCCTTGTTCACCGACAATGAATGAAGCCAGACTATTACACTACCCCCTCCTAATACTGTTCAGCGGAATCACAGGTAGCAAAAAGAAATAAAGATTAACAACACTGTATAACATTTTAACAATTATTTAATAATGAACATTCATTATTATTTTACTCCTTTAAACGCCATAAAAATCCACCCCCAATAAAAAGTTCAATGTAGTTTACAGTTCATGAAATCCACCCTCCAATAAAAAAAAGTTCATTGTAGTTTACTATCCATGAAATCCACCCATAAAAAGTTCAATGTAGTTTACAATCCATGAAATCCACCCCTCTAAAAAAAAAAAAAAAAAAAATTATAATAAATAAATAAACAATAATAATGATACGAAAATAAATTCAAATTTTTTAGGTTCTTTTAGTATAGATATTCCCTTCTTTGTCTTCATTTACAATTTCCATAACCTCTAACTTTTGGAGTAACTCCATCAGTAGCATGTGTTTGCTCCCCTTTCTCATCTTTTCCGGTTTGGTGGTCATTTGGATTGATTCTCCCTGCCGTCCTGGTGGACTCTGGACTGCATCTTCCTTTTCAGGGTTAACTGGGATTGGTCTTGGTTGGATCTTCTTAGGAGACTCAGGAAAAAGAACTCTGCTCAAGGGTTCCATCAAGCTTTCTTCCTCGATTGGTTGAACTACGAGCTTCACCACTTCTTTCGCCTCCCTAGGTGGGCCTGGTGGCAACGCCCACACCTTTCGTACATCTTTAATGCTTGTATCCCTTCTTTTTACATAGTATTTCTGCTCGTGTCTCCTCAAATTGGAGGGATCCTGGAAGCTTTTCTTGCAGTACCGACACTTATAATAAAAAATTGATGATGAGCTAGTTGTATTCTTTTTTTCAATTAGCAATCATAGCAGGGTTTCAACTGATCAAAATGCGCAGTCTTGACCTTCACATGCGAACCCTTACATATCTGATCCACTAATTCTGTTGGAGAGCCCACAACTGTGAATGGTCCTTGCCATTTGTGTTGTAGCTTTGGACTAAGGCCCTTTATTTTGTTATTCACTTTCTGCCACACTCGGTCATCAACCACAATATCCAACCCTTTGGCCTCATCAAGATCACATAGCAAGAGAGAATCTGTATAGGGCTGGCCCTTTTTGCTTACTGCAAGAGCATTTTTTAAAAGCAAAACTATCCCCTAGAAATTGTTTGATGGTTTAAGGCTCTGATTGTCATTGCAGCAACAGTATTTGCTTGCATCTGCTTTTGCATTACATTTTTTCACATTAATTACATGTACGTGTTCATCCGATTTTTTATGGCATAATATCGAGTCTTTCTTATAGTTCTTGCACCCTTTATCTAATGTACCAGACTGTTCATATTTACAACAAATGGCACAGGTCATACCAATTTCATCATTTTTTAGCCATGGAAATTCTAGTTGCTATTTCGGTCAAAAATTATGAACCCTTTGTTGTTCATAGAACTTTCCTGTTAATTTCTTTTCCTCCTTCAGTTTTTTGTTTCTTTGGGGCGGGCAGGGTGTAGTTAGTTAGAAAATGTTCCATGATGATGCCATGAGTGGCCCACTAATGCAAGGAACAACATGCCGCCATTTTGTGAGCCTAGCCAAACCAATATTAAAACGCGGTATGCGATTGGTTGTTGACCACTACTGGCGACCTATAAAAATTACTTTGTAGAGAAATATGACATCGATGTAGATTGCGGTGAGGCGTTAATGTGCTCGGTTTGTAAAGATATGATTTCCAAATAAGTTTGCGACTTTATGGAGAAGACAAAAAAAAGTAAATAAACAAATGTTTGCATCAAAATTTCAGTTTTTTAACAGAGTAAGTCATGAGTAAGTCACCAGACCGTAATTTTCAATGGGCCTAACGGCTGGCTTCTGGCACATTCAACTGGCCCACAGTAAAATCTACTGGCACTCAAACTTATTGGGTGGCTTTTTTTCACCACTGCATGGGCATTTCGGAAAAAGATACAAAGTTTTTCAAAAACTGACCTGTTTAGAAGTTGTAAGTTTTTGGAAGAGGGTGTAGCATTTGGTTCCTTCTGGTTTGTGAGATAGGTCTGGGCATCTTTGTGACCCTGACTGCCCTGGTGAGTGGACAGAGCATCAAGCCTTAGATTGGCGCAATCCAGCAAAAAGGGCCCCTACGAATATTGCTTAAAGTGGTCAGGAACAGTCCTGCACGCTAATGGCCCATAGACAGCCCTGCAGGTTTTACAAAAAATGTTGCCACTCGACTCATTCCCAATCAGCCATTTGAAGTCACCTTTCCATGAGTTCTGAATTGTTCTTTTTCGTTTGGTATTGTCATAACCTTTCTTATTTTGTTTTCTTTCCTCAATAGTTTTTCTTTTGTTAACTTCTCTGTCGGACTTGATAAGTAGAAATTTTTCCATTTTTTGACAGTTGAAGATGAAAGCATGCAGGGAAAAAAACGGAACCTCAAAAATGAGGCAATTGAGGAGGAGACTGATGGTATCATTTAAGATTTGAGCGTTCGAATGCATTATGGTTAGTTCTAGATTCCCCTCCATGAAAGCGTGGAAAACAGTACGTGAGTTGGAAACATTGGAGATGAACATAAAAGATTTCAAAGTTTCATGTCTGAAATACTAGTCAGTTTTCTGCCTATCTTGATCACTGAGCCTTTTATTTTGTCCATATTCAAGATATTGCAATGAAGTAGATCAATGTTTCCAGACTCAGACCGCACTTAAGCTTTAACTGACTAGTCTGCATTAAAATCAAAATTAAATATCATACATGAATACATTTATGATCTAATCAAATTGTAGTAGCCTATCTAATGGTTTATGGGTAGAATAAGTCACTTAAAATTATTGAACGAGTTTAAATTGAAAAATTTATTTTACCTGAACAGCATGTTTGTGATCCTTGTGAGCAATGTGTGTGCTCAGGGAACCAAAGGAAAAAAGGACGAAAGGAAGATGTTATTATGATGCTAACAGCAAGGGCATTTTTCTTCCCTTGAACACTGCAACTGTTACACCACATAAGATTTTTTTATGTCATATCTAACCCGTGGGTATAATGTGTCAACCATTTTTGTTGAAATGATCTGCTAGGCTTAGTTCTAGTACAAGTTTGAGTTTGTTGTTCGCTGGCAGTGCTAGTCTCAGCTTTGCAATGTAGAG